TCTCGATCTTCCTCCTGCTCCTCCTCCTCCTCCTCCCTCGATGCTCCTCGGCCTCGATCCCGATCCTGCTCCTCCTCGATCCGAGATCAGCCCCCTGACGTGTCCAGGAGCGCGCTCTGGCCTCAGAGGCCCCCCAGACGTGGAACACGTGCAGAGCCTCCTCCTTCACTTCCTCTTCGTCTTCGTGCCTGTCCTTCTCCCCTCTTCCTCCTGCGCCCATGCGAAGTGGGGATTTATCAATAACCATTGCCTGGGGGCGTTTGGTGATCGATCGTCGGGGATGTCGACAGGCAGCAGATACGCGTATATTTCCCCCCAAGCCCGCTCCCCCTCCAGGGCCCGACGAGTATGTATAGACCCACATACATACATTCAGCGCGTGTCGAAGTCCTCGAAGATCCATCACCGAGATGGTGGTTGTGGATAGATCCCCGCCTCAGAGCCATTGGTCGTCCCCCTCCCTCGTCCTCCTTGCTCCGCCCACCGCCAAAAGAAGCAACGCCTCCGTCAGGCGGGTGAGGCCGCCAGTCGGCTGGCAGAGCATCACGTTGCAATTCCCGCAAAGGACGACCGTCTGCGCGTGGCTGTAGACGGTGGTGATCTGCAAGCAGCCTGAGCTTTCTGTGCTGCAGAGGAGGGCGCGGGCCCAGACGGGACGCAAGGACGGAGTCGGGAGAAAACGGGGGATACGGAGCGATCTCCGAGGTCTTTCACGGTTTTCGGAAGCGTTTCGTGGCTGGTCCGCCTTCCCGTCGGTCTGCTGTGTGTCCTCTCTCCGGTCGCACGCCGAAGGGGCCGTTTGACCCCTCGTACAAAGCCCGCCCTGACCTCAAAGGCTAGGCGCGCGCCCCGCCAGCCTGGGCGGAGCGTGGGCGGAGTCCTTCTCTCTTCTCCTTCTCTCCCCCTCCCCTCTCTCTCTCTCTCTCCCCCCATCTCTCTCTCTCCCCCTCCCCCTCCCCCTCCCCCTCTCTCTCTCTCCCCCTCTCTCTCTCCCCCTCTCTCTCCCCCTCCCCTCTCTCTCCCTCCCCCCATCTCTCCTCCTGACAATCGTCAGGCAGCGAACGACCAGTGGTCGGAGCGTTTGGCAGAGAGCGAGCGCGTTTCGCGGGCGCCTGCTTTGGTAACATGTGGCGGCGCCTTTGGAGCGGCCCCACCCCTTCCCAGCCCCCCCTCTCGCCGGCGCCGGCGCCGGCGGCGGCGGCGGTGGCGCCCACGCCCAAGCCCACGCCCGCGTCCACGTCCACGCCAACGCCCGCGCCACACACCCACGCCACGCCCACGCCCCCGCCCACGACCACGCCAACGCCCACGCTCACGCCCACGCCTGCGCCCACGCCCACGTCCACGCCCGCGCCTACGCCCGCGCCGACGCCCACGCCCACGCCCACGCCGTCGCCGACGCCCGCGCCCACGCCCATGACCACGCCGTCGCCGACGCCCGCGCCCACGCCCACGCCCACGCCCACGCCCGCGCCCACGCCCGCGCTCACGCCAGGCCCGCGCCCGCGCTCACGCCGACGCCCGCGCCCACGCCCATGACCACGCCCACGCCCGCGCCCACGCCCGCGCCCACGCCCACGCCCACGCCCGCGCCCACGCCCACGCCCACCACGCCTACGCCAACACCCACGCCCACACCGACACCGACACCGACACCCACACCCACGCCCACGCCCACGCCCAAACCCCCGCCCAACGCCCACGCTCCCACTCACGTCCGCGCCCACGCCCACACCCACGCCCACGCCCAGACCCACGCCCATACCCACGCACGCATAACCACGCTCACGTCCACGTCCACGCCCGTTCTCACACCCATGCCCGCGCCCACACCGAAACCCACACACACACCACAAACGCGTCCACACTCACACCCACACCCGCACCCACGCCCACACCCAAATCCATGCCACGCCCACACACGCCGGCGCCCACAACACCACGACGCACGCGCGCAACAACTCACGCGCGCACGCGTGCCGACAAACTCGCATACGCACGCGCGCGCGCACGCACGCACGCGCACTCGCGCGCACGCGCGCTCGCGCGCACGCCCGCGCGCACGCACGCATGCATGCGCGCGCGCACGCGCGCGCGCACGCACGCGCGCGCACACACGCGCGCACGCACGCGCACCCACGCACGCACACACGCGCACACACACTCTCTCACACGCACACACACACCACGCACACACCCCACAAACACAAACACACACAAACACGCACAAACACAAACAAACATACAAGCACACACCAACACAAACACAACCACAAACACGAACAATAACACAAACACAAACAAACACAAACGCAACCACAACCACACCCACAATCACAGACACCCACACCCAACACACGCACAAACACAACCGCCACCACAAACGCAAACATAACACACAACTACAACCACAACCAACATCACAAACACAAGCGCACCACACACAAACACAACCACATACACAAACACAGACAGACACACACACACGCACAAGCACACAAAAACAAACACAAACGCAAACGCACATGCAACCACACACACGCAAACACACAAGCACAGACAACCGCAAACATAAACGCAAACACACACACACGAAAACAATCACAACGACAAACACAACCACACGCAATCATAAACATAAGCATCAACACAAGCACGATCACAAACGCAAGCACAAACGCGCACGCACACGCACGCACAGAGACGCACACACGCACACACACACACACACGCACACAGGCACGCATCCGCGCGCGCGCCTGCGCGCGCGCCCGCGCCCGCGCTCGCGCCGGCATCTTCATCCACGCCCGCGCCTTCATCCACGCCTACGCCCGCGCCGATGCCGACGCTCGCGCCCGCGTCCACGCCCGCGCCCGCGCCTGCGCCGACGTCCACGCCCGCGCCCGCGCCCGCGCCCGCGCCCGCCCGTGCCCGCGCCCGCGCCCGCGCCCCTGCCCGCGCCCGCGCCAGCCCGCGCCCGCGCCCCGTCCGCGCCCGCGCCCTCGCCGACGCCCGCGCCCGCGCATCTACTCGCGCCCGCGCCCGCGCCCACGCCCGCGCCCGCGCCCCGCGCCACGCCCGCCCCGCGCCCGCGCGCGCGTCGCACCCCGCGCCCGCGCCCGCCCCGCGCCGCGCCTGCGACCGCGCCCGCGCGCGCGCGCGCCAACGACGCGCACTCGCGCGCCCCTCCCGCCTGATCAGCGCCCTCTCCCCCCGCTCCCCCGCCGCCCCTCCGGAGGGGGGGGCGCCGCTCCAGGCGGGCCCTCCCTCCTACTCCATCCACTCTGACCTCGCGATGCGCCAGAGGGCAAGGGGGGGCGGGCGCGCGCGGACGGCGCAACCCCGCGGGCGCGTGCGCGCCCGCGCCCGTGCCCGCGCCCGCGCCGCGCCGCGCTTCCGCGCCCGCGCCTGCGCCCGCGCCGCGCGCGCCCGCGCCAGCGCCCGCGCCGCCCGCGCTGCCCACGCCCGCGCCGCCCGCGCCCGCGCCCGCCCGCGCCCGCGCGCCCGCGCGCCCGCACGCGCCGCGCCCGCGCCCAGCCCGCGCCGCGCCCGCGCCAACGCCCGCGCCCGCATGCGCCCGCGCCTAGCGCCCGCGCCCACGCCTAAACACCCGCGTCGCAATACCGCACAACATCCACGCCCGCGCGGACACCCGCGCCCGCGCGCCCGCGCCCGCGCCCCCGCGCCCGCAGACGCGCCCGCGGCCGCGCCCACGCCCGCAACCGCGCCCGCGTCCAACCCAGGCCCGCGCCCGCACGGCCCGCCCGCTCGCCAGGCCCGCCCCGCCCGTTATACTCGCGTGCAAACTCGATGATGTACCACGCTTTCATATTCAATTTCCCGCCCGCCCGCCCCCGACCCGCCGGGTAGGGCCCGCCCGCCCAGCCCGACTCGTTCCGCCCGTTAGGGAACTCGCGTGCCACTAGATTACGCATCATACTTTAATGTCCCGCCCGCCAGGCCCGACCCGACCTGCCTGTTAGACCCGACCCGTTCCGCCCGCTAAGGTCCGCCCGCCCGCCCGACCCCCCCTTCGCACTTTAGGGCGCTCGCGTGCCAATTCGATGATGCACTAGTGTCCCGTCCGCCCGACCCGACCCGTTCCGGCCGGCTGGGTCCACCCGCCCGCCCGGCCCGCCCCGACAATGGATGATGCGCCATGCTTTAGTGTCCCGCCCGCCCGACCCGACCGTTAGGTTCCGCCCGCCCGACCCGGCCCGCCCCGCCCGTTAGGTTCCGCCCGTCTGCCCGACCCGCCCCGCCCGCTAGGGCACTCGCGCGCCAACTCGCTGCAGCGTCCTTGAATGGCCCGCCCGCCCGACCTGACCCGACCCGCCAGTCAGGGCCCGCCCGCCCGACCCGACCCGTGCCGCCCAGCAGGGCACTTGCATGCCAACTCGATGACGCATCATATTTCAATGCCTCGCCCGCCCGACCTGGCCCGACCCGCTGGTGCCCGCGCGCCCGACGCGATCCGTTCCGCCCGCCAGGGCCCGCGCGCCCCGCCCGCCAGGGCGCTCGCGTGCCAACTCGACGACGCGCCGTGCTTTGATGCCCCGCCGGCCCGACCCGACCCGACCCGCCCATGAAGGCCCGCCCGCCCGCCCGACCCGTCCCGCCCGTTAGGATACTCGCGTGCCAAATGGATGATAAATCATACTTTCATGTCCCGCCCGCGCGACCCTGCCCGTCCCGCCCGTTCAAGTCCGCCTGCCCGACCCGACGCGCCCCCCCCCCCCCCCCCGTTAGGGTCCGCCCGCCTGCACAAACCCGCCCGCCCGTGAAGGAACGCGCGTGCCAACTCGCTGATGCATCGTACTTTCATGTCCCGCCCGCGCGACCCGACCCGTCCCGCCCGTCAAGGTTCTCCCGCCCCGCCCCGCCCGTGAGGGTGCCCGCGTGCCAACTCGATCATGCATCATACTTTAATATCTCGCCCGCCCGACCCGACCCGACCCGCCCGTTAGGGTCCGCCCGCCCGACCCGACCCGTCCCGCCCGTTAAGGTCCGCCCTCAAAAGCCAGGGATACTTTATAAGCTGGAGAAGCCGCCAGAGAAGCCCGAGAAACCCAGAGAAACCCAAGAAACCAGAGAAACTGCGGAGAAGTCGGAATTCGCTGGAAAAGCCAGAGGAACCTGAGAAACGACACCGGAGAAACTGGAGAAGCCAGAGAAACCCTGAAGCCAAATAACCCGAAGAGGCGGCAAAGACAAAGAACCAGAGAAGCAAGAGAAACCCTAAGAGAAACCGGAAGCCCGTGAAGCCCCAGACAAACCCCAGAAAAGAAACCCGAAGAGCCGGTGCAGCCTGAGAAGGCGGAAGCTGCCAGAGAAGCTGGAGAAACCGCAGAGAAACCCCAGAAGCCAGAGAAGCCCCGGAGAGGCCAGAAACTCCAGAGAAACCCAAGATCCAGAGAAGCTGGAGAAACTGGAGAGGCTGGAGAAGCCTGAAAAACCGGCCCGAGAAACTGGAGAAACCGGAGAAGCCATGCAAGAGAAGCCAGAGAAACCCGACGAGAAGCCAGACAAACTGGAGAAGCCGGAGAAACCGGAGCAACCGACCGACATGCCGAAGAAGCCCGAGAAGCTAGAAGAAACTTGGAGAAACTGGAGAAAACGGAGAAGCCTCCCGAGATGCGAGAAACCGGAGAAGCTGGAGAAGCCAGAGAACCCATGGAAGTCGGAGACGCCGTAGAAACGGGAGATGCCGGATCGAGATGCAGGAGAAGCTGGAGAGACCGGTGAAACCAGAGAAAAGCCGGAGAAGCCAAAGAACCTGGAAACCCCCGGAGAAGCCAGAGATACCCGACATGCCCTGGAGAAGCAGGAGAAGCGGGAAAAACCAGAAAAGCGGGAGAAGCCGGGAAAACCGGAGAAACTGGATGAACGGCAGATGCTGCAGAGAAGCGGGAGGAGCCGGAGAAACAGGAGAAACGGGGGAAGCGGGAAAAACCGGAGAAGCCGGAGAAACCGGAGAAGCTGGAAAAGACGGAGAAGCTGGAGAAGCCGGAGAAACCGGAGAAGCTGGAGAAGCCGGAGAAGCTGGAGAATCCGGAGAAGCTGGAGAAGCCGGAGAAACCGGAAGCCGGAGGAATTCGAGATGCAGGAGACGCCGGATGATTAAGCTGGAGAAGCCGAAGAAGATGGAATAGACGGAAAAACCGGAAAAGCCGGATCAACTGGAGACGTGGAAAAGCCGGAGGAGCCCAAGAGAAGACGGAGAAGCGGGAGAAGCGGGAAAAGCTGGAGAAACTTGAGAAATCAGGGGAGCTATATAGCGAAGCTGGAGAAAACGGAGAAACCCGAGAATCCGGAGAAGCCCGGCCGGAAAAGCGGGAGAAGCTGGAGAAGACGGAGAAGCTGTGACACTAGAGAAACTGGAGAAGCCAGAGACACCAGAGAAACCCGAAAACCCGGAGAAACCAGAGAAGCTGGAGAAGCCGGCCGTGTTTGTATAGTGTTCATGACTGTTCGTCGAAAGTCGTCGTCCTGGCTACCATTCGGTGTTCGTCGTTCGTCCTTCGTCGCTCGTCGTCGTCGTCGTCGTCGTCGTCGTCGTCGTCGTTCGTCGGTTGTTTTTCGTCGCTCGTCGCCCCTTTGAGTCGTTTGTCGTTCGCCGAAGTCGTCATTCGCCAATCGTTGCGCAGCGATGCATCCGCGGGGAAGTGCGACGCATGTCATGTTCCTCCTTTTGAAGGGGCGGCGTGGGGGTGGAGGCGAAGAGGAAGCTCGGCACAGCCGAGGCAGGGTGGGGGGCTGAGACACGAGCATCGCGAACGCGCGTTCCTCTTCATCACTCTTTTTTTGTTCTCTCTCTCTCTCTCTCCCTTTCTCTCCCCCTCTCTATGCATGTACGTCGGCATAAGCTCCATCCTTTACAATCTGAGACCCTGCGCCCCCCCCAAGAGGGGACCCCCCCAGATCCCTGGCCCCGAGGGCCTGGACGCCCCTGCAGACGGCCCCCTGCTCTCTCCGGGGCTGCCGGGAACGCCTGCTGGGCCTCGGCAGCGGGCCCAAAGTCGGTCAGGAGGGCGGCCGAACGGCCCTGCGAGAACCCACGGAGACCCCAGACACCCACCAGGCGCCCGGAGACGACCCGACGAAGACCTTCACGAGGCCTTCGACACGCAACAAGGGCATTGATTTCCAAAGGGGTGTGTGTGTGTGTGTGTGTGCATTGTTCTGGGGATGCTCCGTTCGTTGGTCTTCCGGGCGACCGAGACCGCCCATGGGAGGCCAGAAACTCTCTCCAACATTACTCACTGCGTGGAGCTCCTCACATGCGCATCTCATGTTTTATGATATGCTATAGTGAACGTTTCTCTATGAATGCCTGACTATAAGAGCGCGCCCACGTGGTCGACAGGTCCGACGAGGACGGTTAAACACCGATGTGCGTGAGTATGAATGAGCGTGAAGTTTGAATACGACTGAATTTGTGCCCATCCTCTTCGTTCCTCCTCCTCATAGGTCATCGCGATGACGTGGGAGGTTTGGGTGGCTTGGGACTCGGGGGAATGGGAGACTTGGGAGACGTGGTAGACTTAGGGGCCTTGGGAGCCTTGGGAACTTTGGGAGACATGGGGCACTCGGGAGACTCGGGAGACTTGGGAGGCTTGCGAACCCTGGGAGGCATGGGAGACTTGGGCGACATGGGAGACTTGGGAGAGTTTGTCGCCTCGGGAGACTTGACAGACTTAGGAGACTTGGTAGTCATGCTGGGAGACATGGACGACGTGGGAGACTTGCGGGACTTGGGGGATTTTAGAGACTTGGGGGGGGGGCATGGAAGACATGGGACACTTGGGAGACTTGGGAAGCTTGGGAAGCTTGGGAGGCTTGGGCGACTTAAGAGACCTGACAGACTTGGGAGACTTGGGGGACTTTCAGCGCCTCGCCGGAGACATCCTCACAATCTGCTCTCCACGCGAAGGATGTTGGGGCAAAAAACACGCAAATCGCTTGAGACATCCCCACAAAACGGCCGCGAACGGGACCGTGTCATACCCCTCAGGGGTGCTGAAACCAGCGCCCCGCCTGAGACATCCTCACGATCTGCTCTCCAAGCGAAGGATGTTGGGGCAAAAAGCGCGCAAACCGCTTGAAACATCCCCACAAAACGGCCGCGCACGGGACCGTGTCATACCCATCGGCGGCTCCCCTTAAGGGGTGTTGAAACCAGCGCCCCGCCTGAGACATCCTTGCAATCTGCTCTCCAAGCGAAGGATGTTGGGACAGAAAACAAGCAAACCGCTTGAGACATCCCCACAAAACGGCCGCGCACGGGACCGTGAAAACACCCCTGGCGGCTCCTTTTAGAAATGCTGAAACCAGCGCCCCGCCGGAGACATCCTCACAATCTGCTCGGATAACCAAGGATGTTGGGACAGAGAACAAGCAAACCGCTTGAGACATCCCCACAAAACGGCCGCGAACGGGACCGTGAAAACACCCCTGGCGGCTCCCCGTAGGGGTGCTGAAACCAGCGCCCCGCCTGACACATCCTCACAATCTGCTGTGTGTGTGTGTGGAATAACAGACAATGAAAAGGCCTGAGTACGAGCAGGTCTGTGTATGAGTAAGTCTGGGTACAAGTATGAGTATTAGCTAGTCTGGGCATGAGTGAGTCTCAGCATGAGTAACTCTGAGTAGGAGTAGGTCTGAGTATGAGTAGGTCAGAGTATGAATAAGTTTGTGTCAGAGTAAGTCTGGTTATAAGTAAATCTGAGTGTGAGTAATAAGTTTGGGTGTGAGGAGGAAGAGAAAGAGAAGAGGGAGAAGAAGGAGTAGGAGGCGTCCAAGTAATAACAAGAACCCCATCTTCGGATATGGGGAACTACCCAACAAGGCTTCTAGGCCGTCCAAGAGAGCCCCAAAATGACCCAACAAGGCCCCAAGACGGCCCGGAGAGAGCCCCATGACGGCCCAACACTGCTTCAAAACGCCCTCCGAACGAATCCAAATCGTGGCCCGGTCGTTCAGGGAGACCGTGGTTGGAAGCACGGTGGCTCGAGGAAGCCCCCAGAGGCTCCCAGAAGGAACCCAGGAGGCCTCCAGTTTGCCCCAACAAACCCTTGAAACTTTCGTCGGGCCCCCAAAAGGCCCTCCAAGGAGGATCCTCCGCAAAAATAGCTGAAAATGGGGACGATGTCGCAGGTTAGGGCGAGAATGAGGAAGCGGACACGTAACCCTGAGGGAGGGATAACGAATAGCACTAACAACAACGATGTCAGAAACAAACAACCCAATATAATCGCCAGGTGTCCAGTTATACTTTCTTGCCCTGCCTCCTACATGCCGAACCTCAAGGACAAGGGGCATGGCATGAAGCGCCAATGCAGTCTTACATATAGAGAAATATGCACATATGCAAGTGTATACATATGTATATATATAGATTAAAAAGTTATTCTCTGTCCCCTGTACACATACTCAATCCGGATACTACTCCCCATCTCCCGTGAAGCTGGCTTTGGAGCCGCCCGTCCCCCTCCGCGTTCTGTTCGTCGCATGCACTACCTCGACATGTTTATGTCTCGAACTGTTTTTCAATCAGAGCGTCTATGTTGTCTCAAAGCGGTGCTACCGCTGCAGTACGAGCTCCTGTTCTCCGATTGTGCATGGCACGATTGAGCCCTTTTGGAATTCCAGGTCCGTTATAGCACGCGTCGGCGGATAGAGAAACAATCAGCGAAATCAGACGGGATGGGCGGGACGGGTATGATGTCGGATATGACGCCAGCGCACCTAGCTTGCCTCTCACCTCTCATCTCCCCTTTCTCTCCTCTGACCTCTCCTCTCTGATCTCTGCTCTCTCTCTCTCTCTCTCCCTCTCTCTCTCTCTCTCCCTCTCGCATCTCTCTCTCTCTCTCTCCATCTTGCGTCTCTCTACGCTTATCCTCCGCACGTTTCTGCCTGGGCACTTGACGTCCATGAAGAAGCTGTTCGGGGTCTGGATCATGCGCTTCAACTTGTGCCTGGTCTTTTCCTCCCGCGGGTCCTGCGCGCTGGGGTCAAGACTCGGCGGCCAACGAACCCGTACGCTCTCCCCCCCCCTCTCCCTTCTCCGTCTTCCGCCTCCTCCCTCCTCCTTCTCCCGCACCACCGCTTCCCTCTCCTCCTCCACCGCTTTCCTTAAAACGACGCGAAGATCGGGACAAAATCGGATCGGGATAACTCGAAATCTCTGAGAATCGGCGGGTTTGGAGGATGTATTGGGCGCCGCGGCCGCTCCAGAGCGTTCCAGAACGCTCTGAGAGCGCTCCGGATAGCTCTGGAGCGATTTATCCCGATCCTAGCCCTGTTTTATCCCTTCTTCTACTCCTCCTCCTCCTCCTCCTCCTCCCGCCAGATGGTTGTCAAGCCACGCGAGACACCCCCTCCGGGCCATCGGAGGTGCCCTCCCCCTCCTCGGTCTGCCCCCCCTGCCGCCGGCCCCCTGTCTGCTGTGGCTCCCTCTCCTGCTCTGGCATGTGTGCTGCAGCTCTCCTCTTGCCGTCGCCCGGGGGAGGGGGGAGGGGGGAGGGGTAGGGGGGAGGGGCACGCTAGGTGCGCTCGCGTCATATCTGACATCCTACCCCTCCCTCCCATCCCTTACAATGGCGCAGATCCCCTCTCTACTCGCACAGTCGGATGTCGAGCAGGGCAATGATCCCGAAAGGGTACGCGATGCATTGTAGAGCACGTCCGTTTTCCGTGCGTTTGTCAGTTTCGTGCGCGTGTTTTGCTCGATGATCCAGGATGCTCGTCGATGGTCTTCGCCGGGGCAACATGCACACGCACGAGCGATGCCAAGTCTCTGGGCAAGGAAGCCATAACTGAGGGTTGCTGTGGCCGCCACCGGTCAGAGTAGCACAGATTCATCCAAACTCTTCCCCCTCGAAACCAACATACAGTCGGACCTGGGACATAATGACATCCTTCAAGAACATGAGACCCTCCGCCGGCCCAAACTGAAGAGCACTCGAGGGTGGCCTCCTCCAGGATGCACAAGAACATCCAACAAGCACGAACACACAGTAGGGTACCCTCCCGAGCCGACCTCGATCTTGTACCTCGGTCCGACCGTACCCAAATACTGAGCTTTCAGGGTGAGCGAAGCGACCCCAAGAAGCGGTCAAATCCAGGAGCCGAGCGTCGGCAACGCCAGATGTGTTGTGTTCCCGTCGGCAGCCGATGCCCTCGCCTCGGCACGGACAGCTTTTCCGGGGGAGATCTGAATTTTGGGACCACGAGCGGCGTGAAGCAGATCAGCTGCAGCCTCCCACGGAGCCTCGGCTGCGGGGGCCATGCGGGAGTTCGCACGCCCACCCCTGTGCGGTTCACACCGCCCACAGGCACCTCCTTGACAGTGGACCAGAATCACTAAGCTCGCCCGCAGCTCCCGGGGTGTCCCCGCTGGCTTCGGCGCCCATGGGGGGCGCAGGCCCGCTCCCGTGCGTTCGGGCGCACCTCGCGCACCTCGTGCCCCACGTCCAGACCTCCGACGCGTTGGTTCGTCCAACGCGGGGGCTCCCCGCCCCCTTCCCAGTGTCCTGGGGCTTCAAAAAAGCGACAACCCTGCAAACAGAAATCGAGGGAGAATTCGAGGGTTGAAACATCGATCTGCCTGGTGTCCGGGACTGGGGTCCCCAGCTGCGGCTCTAGTCGGGCGGCTCGGACGCGCACTCCTGCTCATCTCTGGACGCACGCCCGCATCGTGCAGCACAGGAGCGACGGGAGGAGAATCGTCTTACGCGAGACGGCACAGCAACCTGTCGCGATGGCTCAGGCAGGCCGCGGTTGCGGCACGCCGCGTGGGAAAGAGGGCGCTTATGCGCGACCTCACGCAGGACGCTTGCGCGCAGGCGACCCCGCTCCTCCAGGGCGATTCGAGCGAGGACCCGTCTGCGGCGACCGCGGTTGAAGGGGCCCTGGGACACACAAATAAATGCACACAAATAACCGGATTCCCCATATTTTTCCATATTTTCGGGTTGTTTGGCTTCCCCCCCGCTTCCCATTTTTTCATATATTTTCGGGGGAATCGACGATTCATGGTGTCTGTGTTTTTTTCCCCCTCCTGACTGTGACGGGAGGCGTGGCGCTCCCCCACAGGAAACCCCAAAAAGGACGTCCTGGGGCCCCAGGGCTGGGCTTCCCGTGGAAGCCGTCTCGTGGACCGGCCTCCGCTGCATGCTCGGAGCGAGCGGCCCGCGCGAGCGCCTGCGAGCATTTGGAGTCCCGAAACGGTGCGGTGACAGACCGTGCGGTGACCTCGAAACCCCCCAAGACCTCACCGCACGGTCCGTCACCGCACGGTCTTGGGACCCTGGAGGCCCCTGTCGCCCGAGACATCCTCGGAGAAAGACTCGAGTCCCAAAACCGTGCGGTGACCCCGAATCCCCACCGACTCACCGCACGGTGTGGTCACCACACCGTTTGGGGGCCCCCGAGAGCAACAGGGCCCCCCCCCCCCTCGAGGCCTCCCGGGGCCCGCCCGCCCGAGCCCCCCGCGGGGGGCCTCCCGGGCTCTCTCCCTGGGAGCCCCCCTGTGGCACCGTGTGGGGGGCCCTCCCGCCCTCGGCCTCCCGGGGCCGCGCGCCTTCTCCCACTCGGGCCGGGCGACAGGGAGCACAAAAGGGGGGGGGGGTTTGAGACTCGGCTCACCTACTGCTGACTTTCCCGGCGCCTCCCGGCGCCGGGAGGCGCCCATGCATCGAGGACTGGGCCCCTCGGTGGGGCCGAACCAGCTGCATGCAGCAGCTTTCGTACCCCCCCTTTCCCGATCCCCCCCTGCCGTCCGGCCCGCTCCTGGGGCCGCGTGTCTCCCACGGGCCTCCTGGCCATGAGCGCAGGGTGCCATGAGCCATCTCGGGCGAGTTCCTGCAACGCTCGTTCCGTTCCCGTGCAACGGAAAGAGCGAGGCACCAGTGATGACGTTCTGGTGGGGCGAAGCCCTTAAGAGAGGGGTCCAAAAAGAGGGGCGAGGCGCGCGCGCATGGTTGGTAATGGCCGCCGGGGGCCGTTTCCCTTGTATTTTTCAAATGAAGCGGCTCGCGGGCGGCTCCTCTGGCCCGTTTCCTCGGCGGCCAACGGGCCCCAAGACGGCCCAAGAGGGCCCCAAGACTGCCCAAGAGGCCCCAAAACAGCCTAAGAGGGAACCAAGAAGGCCCCAAGAGAGCCCCCGATGGCCTCCAGACGGTCCAAGACAGCCTCAAAACGGCTGCAAAGTCCCTCCAGAGGGCCCCCGAGAGGGCCCCCAAGGGCAAAACACATCTGTTTTGTTTGTTTAGTTTTTAGTTTGTTGTGTTGTTGTTGCTGCTGCTGTTGTTGTTGTTGTTGTTGCTGTTGTTATTGTTTTTGTTATTGTTATTGTTAATGTTGTTGTTGTTGTTGTTGTTGTTGTTGTTGTTGTTGTTGTTGTTGTTGTTGTTGTTGTTGTTGAGCTCTCATTTCTGAAGAATAATTATTGTTGATCCCCCCATCGGTGCATACTGTTTTTTCTGAATTAAAGTGTGCCCCTCGACGCTCGCACCCTGTTTTTTGATAGGGAACATATTCCTGCTCAAACTGGCCCCCTGGCCCCCGGGTTACAACAACTAGGACCCCCGCTCCCGCCCGAGACTTTTCATATTTTATTCAGGAATCGCGCTCTCGCTTTGGACTTCCTTACAATTTATGCAGGAATCGCTCTCCTGGCGCTCTGGGGTCGCGCTTTCGCTGGAGACTTGCTGACGAATAGCGCCCTTGCATTGGAACTCTTGCAATTTACTCAAGCGCCGCGCTCCCGACACCCAGGCACCCAGGAGTCGCGCTCACGCTTAGGACTCCCTCACAGATTACCTAGGAATCGGGATCTCGCTGCCCTTCGTGGCCCCGTTGCAGCCCTTCGTGGCCCCCTCGCTTTGTTTCGCGGCCCCGTTGCAGCCCTGCGTGGCCCCCTGAGTTTGTTTTGCGAGCCCCTCGCTGCCCTTCGTGGCCTCCTCGCTGCCCTTCGTGGCCTCGTTGCAGCCCTTCGTGGCCCCCTCGCTTTGTTTCGTGGCCCCGTTGCAGCCCTTCGTGGCCCCCTCGCTGCCCTTCGTGGCCCTGTTGCAGCCCCCTTCGTGGCCCCGTTGCAGCCCTTCGTGGCCCCCTTGCTTTGTTTCGTGGCCCCGTTGCAGCCATTCGTGGCCCCCTCGCTGCCTTTCGTGGCCCCATATATGTATGTCATTCGTGGCCCCTGCTCGTTCGCGCCCTTGGTGGCCCCATATGCATGCCCTTCGTGGCCCCGCTGTCGCCCTTCGTGGCCCCCTCGCTGCCCTTCGTGGCCCCGTTGCTGCCCTCAGTGGCCCCGTCCTTGCCCTCCGATGCCCAACATACGTATTCCTTTCGTGGCCCCCGCTCGTTCTCGCCCGTTGTGGCCCCATGTGCATGTCCTTCGTGGCCCCGCTGTCGCCGTTTGTGGCCCCCTCACTGTCCTACGTGGCCCAGTTGCTACCCTCACTCAGTGGCCCCATCGTTGCCTTCTGTGGCCCCGCATTATCTGCCCTTCGTGGCCCCCGCTCGTTCGCGCTCCTCGTAGCCCCATACGCGTTCCCTTCGTGTCCCCGCTGTCGGCCTTCGTGGCCTACTTCGTGTCCTTCGTGGCCCTGCTGTCGTTCTCGCTCGCTCTCGCTTTCGCTCGTCGTCGCCGTCGTCGTCGTCGTCGTCGCCGTCGTCGTCGACGTCGTCGTCGTCGTCGTCGTCGTCGTGGTCGGTCCCGTGTCCGTCCCTCTTGGGGTCGGGTCGACGGTCCGCGGCCGCCCCGCCGATCAGCACTGCCGCTGGCCAGGCCAAGCCGCCCCGCCGCTTGCCGGGGCCCGGCCTGCAGGGAAGAAAGGAATACCCCCCAAAAGGGGTTCGATCGAAGACAAAGAGGTATCGGGGGGGGTGGAAAATACGCGTTATTGGACACTCGATCAGATAAGGGCGAACAGTCTTAAAATGCTTGTTGTTGTTGTGGTTGTTGTTGCTGTTGCAGTTGATGTTGCTGTTGCTGTT